GGCGCACGCTACGTCATAACCAAATTTTATCGGATGGATAGTTTACCAAATTTTCTTACCCATGGTGCTCCGCAGGCACGCTTCGCGCGCGAGAGCTCCGCTATCAACATCATAATGTCAAGACGTATTCCGTAATGCCACGTTTGAGCTCCACATGCCAACGCATTAATGTCACGACAGACACTTTAATACCAGTATAAAATTCAAAACATTGAGACAAACATAATTTTGACACTGATAACGCGCCATATTTTTCTTAATGTACGTAGAGTGGAATGCGAGTATCAGTGCCCGCTAAATTTTTGCACTACTTTCAGCATATAATTATAGTGGTCATTAAACTGCTTGTGTGGTCATTGAACTACTGGCGTGGTAATATTGAACTGTTGGGTGGTCATTAAACTGATTGTCTTTTCTGAACTGTGCACACAAAAGACAAAAAAAAAAAAAAAAAAAAAAGAGGATTCCAGTGCCTTAAAGACGAGTGTTACGCCGCAAAATGTAACAATTGACGCAAAATGTAACATTAACGCGAAATGTAACAACTTTTGATGCGAAATGTAACATTAACCCGAAATGAAACAACTTTTGACGGAAAATGTAACAACTTTTTATCGCGAAATGTAACAACTTTTTGACGCAAAATGAAACAATATTTTTAACGCGAAATGTAACAAGCAAAATGTTACAGCCTTGAAATAACTGAGAGACTTGGACATGAGCCTTGTAGATAAAGTGTCAATTGTCTGGTGCTTACAAAAACAGTTTGCTAAATAGAGAATGTTGTAAGTCATTCTCATGGTTTATTATCAAGAGGTCTGAAAAGATTGATTCGATACCATTAATGAAGATTAATGAAGAAAATACGGAACATCCACTGCCTCTTATTGAAGTACTTATCTGGGTTAATTGAATTCGGTGCGGCAATTACAGTAAATTGGGGCCCGCTAAATTGACCAATCACAGCGCGAGCACGAACTAAGAAAATGGCTCAACTACATGTATACTGATAAACAATGATTCTCCAGCAATATTGGAGTGTAGACCACAATAGGTAAGTATTGTGCAAGGAAATTGTTTTCCATGCATATTGTACACGTCGAAGACATTTAGTGCAGGTCATAGGCTTTATTGATGTTATCTGATTCACAGCAAATAGAAACCAGCTCACATATAACACTGTTGTTTGTATCTAACCTTTGTTTACATATTTCCATCTTTATAACTGGTAAAAGGCAAAATCCTTTTGCATGTGAAAAAGCCTTCTCTGGTAAACATGTTCATTTTGTGGCCGATCATAGGAAGCAAAGAAAACCGAAAGGACGCGTCCATGTCCTCACACTTTATCTGGAAAAACCAAACGACCAAAAAAAAGACACTACCGAGTTAAAACACGGTTTTATTCCAGTTTTACCTAATACCTCAAAATCCTTGAATCTATTCCTGCTGGGCAGGTAACTGTTCTTGTGATCATCTGGAATGCCGTGTTTTAGCTCTTACGACTCTATTTGCTTTTTTTAAAATAGATCTAGACAGTCCTCTTTTTTGTTTTGGTCTGGTTATGAGGTAGCTAGGGGACGTATTTCTGTAAACATGACTGGTAAACTTGTATTTTTCTCTTTAAAAGCCGAACTGTGCTTCCTTGCCAAACATGTTTGCCTGAGATTTGCACGTCATTTCAACTACAAGCGTATTAAATTATATTCTCAAAGGCACAACGCTACGACAATAATCATGCAGTTTTTTTTTATATAAATGACGTTACTTGACCGAAGCATTTTTATTAATTTTAATGTTTTTTTGGGTTTTTGGTTCCAGTGCAAGACTGAAAAGTTGCAAAGCTAAAATGTAAGAGCAAAATGGCTCAGGTCAAACCAAGTTTACGGTGGCACCGGTCAGGCCTAAAGGGTGGATAAGATTTGCCTCATTCTTACATCACAACAAATAGATCATTTTCCTCTTAGACCCGATGATATCACGAGCAAGCAATAACTCATTCACCAGCCTCCTGCTTGTTTAATTAACTACAATTGCCAGGAGTAAAATGATACCGGAAAGATGACCAAATCCAAACAGTGCCACCTTATTAATATCGTAGTTTGGTTTTCCCAGACCCATGAAAAACTTGATAAATGTTTCCATAAATTATATACTATATCCTTTACCAGCTTAGCACTTGAATTTATATTGCAATGAAATATAGGTCATTGCAGATTAAAAGTGCTGTTTATTTGTCGCGCTAGAACCTTATGAAATGTGTTGTCAAGCCCAACGATCGTAGCATGAAAAAAAAATTGATGTTCTTATCTTACGTCAGTAAGTTAAACGCGGTTACATGCTATCCATGCTTGGCGATCATGCTTGCCTCTAGAAAAAATTCTACCAGAAAGACCTGAATGACATTGTTACAGGTTTTAGCGCAACAAGCTTAAGCTACTTATACTAGGCGATAAAATAGACATAAAATTAATGTAAATATAGTAATGTTTAAAGTTGTCAAGCATATAATTAGTTCTCGACCAACCTGAGAAAATCGTACGTCCTACAAACAAATACTCTTTATTAGTTAGCAATTTTACTTTCCCTATGTGCAAATCTTTCCCAGGAAGTAATACTGAATTATTAAAAATCCTGACGGGAAAAGCACAAGAGTAGTAACATTTGCTTCACCCGTCTTTTGAATTAAACTGTGTTTCCTTGCAAACTCAATTGTTTGGAAGTTCTTTGCCATTTAAAACTTCCACAATCATAAAGTTAACTACAACACTCAAGGCTACAATCCTACAACGGGTGTTTATGGTTGGCATGTATAATGGAACAACTGATAGTTTCTGGTTATAAACAAACAAACAAACAAAAAACACATCCTTGAGGTAAGCACAACGATTTCAGTTCAATATCCAGTTAAAATAAGATTACTATTAGTGAAAAGGAATTCTGGAAAATAAAAGGAATTAATCTAGGGTCTATTGTCGGTCCATTGAACGTTGGATACAGGTTTCCGACTCTAGTTTGAGAAGTCCTAAACGAAAGACCCCGACAAATTCTCCTTAAGCAAAAGACGTTAGTGAATCAACTTATGCATTTGAAGAATTATAAATTCAGTTGTAAACAAGTTAAGCTAAGAAGCTAAGAAAGCGGGTACTTAAAAGGTGATCGGTTGTCATTTCTCTATTCACTGTTTTGTCAATCTATTTGACGTTTGGAAACTTCACTAAAATTTCCACTATGCCATTGCCACTTTGTTTGACATTTCGATCGGAGAAGAAAAACTCAGTTTTGAGAAAACGAAAGATCTCTGCTCGTATGTTTCCAGTTAGCTCAAGTTAGGAAGGTAAAGAAAATAACTTTAAAGTGAACTTTTAGTGAATAGCTGAAAATAAAAATAGAATAGCAGTTGGATCGATCTACTCCATCTGAGAGATTCCAGAAAATTTAAGATGAAGTATCACACTTGGTTTGAGACGGACAGCCATTATATTGTCATTGCCGCATTGTGCGAACCTAAAGTGATTTGTCCTCTGCTATGAGGTAAGTTTTGCAGGAAAATTCTCAAATTAAGATTCAGGTGTTTCGAGTGTCGTTCTGTAGAACAGGACTACACTTAAGTCTGTAAGTCTCAAATCGTATGTATCTACACTCATCTCACTAAGCTTAAAACCACCTAATTTCATTTGAACTGATCAACGAAAACTATTAGTACAGTCCAACCTGTATGTGCGACCACATTTCGCAAGCGACCAGCTCCCATAAACGACCACTTATCCGAAACACCAAAATTTTCCCATTCACAGCCTTTTAGTTGGAATTTTTCGTAATCGAACGCAATCACTTTTTAGCATGACAATTTAAGAATTTTCCACTGTTCTTAACCTGTTTAAGCAACTGCTACCTGGTACAATGGTCTGATCTTTGTGTTCCCTGTATGTATGGTACTGCGCTACTCAGAATGTGAGCAGAAGTTTTAGAGAAAAAAAAAACAACATGGATTTACATATACTGTAACCTTAGAATGCAGTGCAATGTATTCTTCCAAAAACTTAGATGTATCCGAACTTCTCAGTCCTGTCAAAAGACCTCCTTTGACTCTCATAACTGACCACATCATGGAAGCGACTACTTATTCTTCGCAATTTAGGGGGTCACTTACGGGAGGTTTGATTGTATAGGTTAAATTAGAGTTAGTTAAGACCCATTACCATTATCAATAAATTATACTGTTAAATATCTTGTACAACTTGGATAAGTTGTAGCTTAGAACCAAGGTTGCTGTCAGTAAGAGGAAATATCCCTACTCATAACATTTACTGACTCAAACGAGGGAATGATTTCAATCCTTATACTACTACATTAGAAATTTCTGCAATTTGATGGGCTTAGAGCAGTGGTATTTCAGCTTAATGTGAAATACCCACATGTGAAAATTACAAACCTTTTGCGGGTAGTAGTATGAACAAATAATAGCATTATGTGAACGTGCTATTTGGCATGAATACCACTCGTGATATTTCAAAATTGTTTCAAATTTCTCTCGCCTAACGGCTCGTGAAATTTCGTATAAGAATTTCGAAGTATCACTCGTGGTATTTATGCCAAATATCACTATACAAATCATGCTATTACCTATACTAATTCATGATTCTATACCTTACTTTACCTAACGCTAGATAATCTATTTTCATCCTTCTTTATGGAGAAAGAAGACGTAGTGGAACTTCATTTTTAACTCGTCAGACACGTTTATATACTTAGGGTCGGTTATTCAGTAAACGGAGTCTAATTTAGGCCGCGGTTTAGCAAAGCTTTGTCCCTCCAAGCAGATATCTTCCTCTGTGGGTTATTTCAAGAGAATAAGTGCTTTTCCAGTACACACCTCATGATCATGCTTTCATGAAACCTTTCACGATAAAAAGTGTTAAGAAAAAAGTGTTGAGCAAACTGAAAATTGATGAGAACACGGTTTTACACCAGCTAAACTCCGTTTAAATAACTGGCCCTAATTAGAGTTTGGTTTCGTAAGTTTCTCTTGGAGGCTGATGAATAACCACCTCTACAATTGTCTGAACGCCCTGTTCAATGCTTTCCTCGTCAGTTGTTGTATCCTCTTTTTCACTTTCTTCATCATGATCTTCAAGAGTAACATCAAATGCCCCACTCTCCCCTAAAGTACTAGCACAGATCACCTTTGCAGTTGTCAAAACGCCCTGTTCAATGGTTTTCTCGTCAGTTGTTGTGTCCTCTTGTTCACGTTCTGCATTGTGATCTTCAAGAGTAACATCAAATGCCCCACTCTCCCTTAAAGCACTAGCACAGATCACCTTTGCAACTGTCAAAACGCCGTGTTCAATGCTTTTCTCGTCAGTTGTTGCCTCCTGTTCTCGTTCTGCACTATGGTCTTCAAGAGTAACATCAACTGCCCCACTCTCCCTCAAAGTACTTGCGATGGTTGGCAACTCGATGTCACCAGTTTGCAGTTGCTGATTTAGTATGTTTTTCCCTGTTAATCCGCGTATCTCTCCTTGTAGTTGATTAAGTGGCAATAGCAAGGCCAGGCAGCAGGAGAATGACCACTTTGGATGCTTGCGCCATTGTTTTACAAAGTGGTAAAGATACACCAGATATTGCACTGAAACAAAATAAACACTCGCTCAAATTAAAACTTGGCCTTTATAGATTCAATTTATATTAACCTTTCATCACAGAGGAAAGACCTGAAGGCGGCTACTTGCACGAGAACAGTACAATGGTGATAATGATTAAAAAAAACTATCTGTTTTCACAAAAAGCCTTGAAAGAACTGATTTAACAATTAAAGGTAAAATACCCGAAGTGCTAAAGAAGTAAAATAATATTGCAGAATGTTTTGAAACAAAGTTTGAAGGTACCTTACTATGTTTTTAAACCTTTAAGTCCCAATAGTGACCAACATCAATTTTCTCATAACGATAGACATTCATTGTCAAGAGATTAGGTTATGAGAATTAATAAAATGATCAGCTAAGAGAAAATGTTTGATCTTTTATCAAATTCTCTGAACTCATTCTTTAAGAAAATATATAGAGATCCGTTTGGAGAATTTGTATGTGGATATTGGGACTTAAAGGGTTAACCCTTTCTCGGATCATATCACGGTACGGTACTATCACCATCAGAGTGTCTTTTTTTAAATTTCTCCTGTTTACCTTTCATTTGTTCTTCATTTGCAGTGCCACAAAGGCAGTAAGTATATACAGGGGATTACTACAATATTATCATCTAACTGGTGATAAAAAGGTATATCACGTGGAAAAAAATCGTTTAGCATTTTCTAATTCAAGTGAAGCGTTCATGGTAATACATTAAAAAAAAAAAAATAGAAAACTTCATAATTTAGAAATAAACTCAGAGGTCATTACATTATTTTATTTCAAAAGTACCGAGATTGACTCTAAACAAAGCAAAAACAACCTGACTGGTCAAACGGTTTTTCTCACAAGTGAAAAAGTTGTATGAACAATTACGCGCCGCATACGAAAAAAATTCTCAAAACGACAAAGATGGTATCGGTTATTCCGCTTTTTAGAGCGTACATACATACACACATACATACATACAACTTTAAGAGCGTGTCTCCGTAAAAACCGACCAGTGATTTCGGATCAAAAAATTAATTTCCCTTATATTCTGGGATATTAAAGCCTTCACCTTAGTAGTTACAAAAATACATTTCGTTTGACCGAAAGTGATAAATATATTTTTTTACGAATTTTTGAATTTTCGGACGATTAGCGCTGGCGTCATAGCCTTTGAAACTGCAAAAATCGCTAATATTGACCGCGCCCTAGAAAACGAACAACTCGCTCAAAAAGCCTGATTTTCTTTTCCGTATACAGATACACCTATTTGCAATAAGGTTGTCATAGAAAAAAGCAAAAAGCAAAAAGCAAAAGGCAAAAAGTCAAATAGGAATTAATTAGCATTTAATTATCATTGCTTGCAACATTCCCAACACACACGCTTATAGCTGAATATTAATCACGTAACATGAGAGAAATCATTTGCATCAGTTTCTCGGTGTCATTCTAATGCAATTCGAGGCTGATTCATCTAGCGGATTTCAAACGTGCTCTAATTACAAACGTACATCGGATAACTACTAAAGAAAAAATGGCTCCATTTTTTTTCAATAAATATAGCCTAGGGTAAATTCCAGGAAGGCGACGCGTCTTTTTGTTTAATGCTAAATAGAAAAGCCAGTCTGCGTATGGTTTGTAGTGCACCACACCATCAGATCACAATTTTCAAGCAACAAATCAGGGGCGTACGCAGGACTTTCCATCGCGGAGATGGTGAGGCGTTCCTCAGCCAGTCCCTCTCCCGCGCCACAAACTAAGCTTCGTTTGTCAGGACCCTTTTGTTACACACATCAGTGTTTCATCTGCGGAATCTTACAGCGCGGAATTACAGAATTATTTCTTGTCATTGTGACTGACTTCTTAAATAATTGTTATATTATCAAAATACGCAAATGTAAATCACATGGCTATTTAATTAATTCCTATTTGGCTTTTTGCTTTTTGCTTGTTGCTTTTTTCTATGACAACGTTATTGCAATTAGGTGTACACCACTGTAGATTTCCTAGCCATATCACAGTTCCGAATTATTTGTTTATTTCAACGGCAATGATTTTTTCCCCAGCACGTGTTTTCGGCTTTCCATCAAAACACGAAAGTAGCTCAACTTTGAGGGTAATTTTAAAAAGTGTGGCACCTGTCTGAACTTCGCTATCTGTATGAATACAATCTAGGAATGATAGTAAAACACAAAAAGGAATAACATTTTTGTGCTCTCCACGTTTTCAGAAGAGACCGCCGTTTGAATTTCCAGAAATTTCGTAAACTTGATAAGTAACGAACACTCGCCTTGTCGATCTGCTTGTCAAGGTCCAACTTCATTTGATGGCGTGATATATCTTATCCAAGTTCTTTCACATTTTAAGGTTATTTCTCAATCATCTGAAACTATATTGGCCGTTGATTCCATGTCCTTTGTCCGTTTAAAGAAGTTATCTGGTTTATAAAATGGCAGCCATCCGCGAGCGTGACTGGTTCGTGACACCGTCCTGAAAGGTCTTTTGCTAAAATTAGTTGGGTGCAATCTTGTTCATTGAGATTATACTCTTCAAGACATCGCAGTGAAATTTGTAGGGCAAATAAAACACGTTCCTTTGCAAATACGACGCGATGAGTCGCTGACAAAGCGTTTTAACCAAGTCTTCTGACAAACTTGAAAAATGCGTGACTCTGTATTTCATCCCCAGTTCTCCTGCATTGGGTGATGACCTGAACAAATACTAGCTCGTTCACTTGTTTATTAACTTCTTAGGTTGTAATGTCCCTCTTGGTTTTTGTGGAGGATATTTTTGCTCCTGAAGTAGCCGCTTTAACTCTAAAAACATCGAATTTTTTGTTTAAAACCTGTCCTTCAACGGCATCTTTTATCTAGTTTGTATCAGGCGGTGTGCGTCACGACCCACAAAGGTTCATGGGTAAAACTGTTACTGTGACTCATTTCAATCGTGACACGGACGAGTTCGCATCTCGTAAGAGAAATGAATCAAACCCAGGGATCAAAACACTGCTGCCTTTTCCGAAAAACATTACGCAAGAGAGCGATTTCGAGAAATTTCAAGATCTCATAGTGGCCTTAGATGCTTGCTATTGGCTTCACAAGACAATTTCAAGAAGTTTATCGCGATTCGGAGACGATCGTGCGATCTAGCCGACTTTGCGCGGCGACTAATTTCCTGCTTCTCATAAGATTTTATGTACTGTTTGGTTTATATGTATGTTTTTATCTCACAGTTAAAGAGATATGTAGTTCATACCTGGATTTGCTTAACTAAAAAAAAATTCATTCATTAGAAGTGTTTATATATTTGATGGACTTTCTTACCCGCAAAGCAGGGGGAGCGCGTGCAAACAGCAAGGTGAGAAATCGTCTCTCATAACAATTTTATTTTCATCGACAAGTTTATATTATTTTGGAAACAGTGCCCGCTTGAAATCCTTATGAGCAAATAAATCTTCAATCAGGCAAGGGGAAAACGGACCGAAAGAGCCGAACAGCTGCAGCACAATCGGAATTTCACCGAAGCTACAGCCGCAGAAATAAACAGTGAAATAAACCACGATCTTGTCTGTGCGGTCATTGAAGTGAGCGCAGTATATCGATTTTGTTATAAAGTAAAACCTATCCTCACAGTTTTAAAATCCTGTATGTTGTCTGGATCTTCGATAATGGTGTTGTGTTTTGGTAGAGATTTATAACAATTCATTCCCTCACGTATTAAAGTTTACACAAAGATAGCACACACCGCATGCAAATTATTTTAAAGTCACGCTTTCAGTTTCCGCACTGGGTTATGAAAAATGTCTTGTTTCCAAAGGTTATTACAATATTCAAACTTATTTACCTTTTGTGGTTTAAAATAGAACAAAGTCTTCCTGGATTTGGCGTTACTCGCTTCACGTCGGCTTCCGCTTTGGCATGTTTTCTCAGCCCGTTTCCCGGGAGTTGTGCCACTTGGCTGAGACGATGTCTTAATTCCAAGACACTTTCAACGGCTCATAACTGGAAAACTAACAGGGGTAGACCCGGGTAGACCCCGAAAATTGCAAAGAAGAAGGGTTGAAGTAACAAGATGGCCAAAATAATTCGATAAAACCGCTAACAGTAACCAGCAATAAAGCCAAGAAGAACGGCAAAAACAACATTCAAATCCTCATGGCGGCCCGCACATGACCGAGCAATTCAAATTCGTCACAAACGCTCAAGAAAGCAAAATATTTAAAAGTAACGCAACTGCTATCAAGATAAAGTGTTCCAACAACTTTCCACGGCGGTATAGTGTCGAAATTACCAACACAAGCTTGGAATAAAGCGAAAATTTCACCACGTATACCTCTGCAAACAGCTCTTTCCGAGCGCGAAACTCACTCTACAAATGACGCATTCTGATTGGTCGAATCTCGTGACGCACACCGCCTGAGTTTGTATAAAAGTAATAGAGAGCGTCATCAGTTGCGAGCGTGACACGGTTGTTTCGTAACATTTTCTGTAAAGTTCGATGTAATTAACATTGAATCGCCATACTTCGATACATTTTCTTCTTCAGCTTAACGTAAACGCACTGACAAAAATGGTTCAACACATTTCAGCTAAGAGAATTGAGAAACCACCACGCTACTACAGTTTCCACGTCCTTCCCAGGACCCCACGCTGCGCGGAAATTCATTGAACTGGACCCTGGCATTCACATTCCGTGCTGTTCTCATATCCTTTTCAACCTGAACAGGGTCCGCCTTGCGGCCAGTTCGCTCACCAATTTCAAACTTGGCTGTAAGATATTCTTTAACCTCACGAGAAAACCGGATGGAACCTGCGTGGGCCTTGCTTAGTGCCCATCCCATCTGCAGGGTTTCTACGTCAGTTGATGATTCGGACGCCAACATAAATGGTGTAGATTTTTTCACAGCCACATCCACTGATGTAAATTTTGTTGCCCAGTCCTTTCTGATCTTGTTTACTCAAGTCTGGGCTTAGAGAAGATAATGTCACAGTTTTTCAAATTTCAATGACGATGAAAGTCAGAGATATTATACGTATTAGGAAGCTTTATATGCTTCATAAAATAAATCAAGGACATTGCCCGGCTTATTTTAATAAATATATTGAACATATAAGTAACACCCATAATCATAACACGAGATCCGTTTCCAATAACAATATTACAACATCAGCTTGTAAAAGGAACTCTGGCCTTCGAACGTTTCAATCAAGCGCTTGCCGTTTGTGGAACGCTCTTGATCCCGAACCTAAGACACTCTCCCATACTAATTTTAAAAATTACTTATTTAAACTTTACCGTAGTTTGATTTCTTCTCTTGATCATTTTAAGATTTGTAAAACCTTTTAGTTCCATTAGTAGTCAATTAATCAATATTGTATTAATAGTAGTTTATTATGTAAGTTTAGTTGGTAGATTTTATTGGCAGTTAATTAAATAATCGATACTTTTTATTACTTTAATTGTAGGAGGGCCATTATGAAAACTACTGGGTGACCAGTAATCAATGTCTTTACCCTCGTTAAATAAAGTTATTACTTACTTACTTACTAGTCCGGGTAGTTAGTTAATCAATTGTGGCTCTGAAAAAATTTGAAGGAAAAAAAACTACGAATTTTTAAGAAAATGCTGTTTTCGTGAGAAGGCTCTTAAACGCTGACAAACGTCAACAAATAGCGAAAACTATAATTTCTATATGTTTGCTTTGCTCGAAATCGCGCGCATTTACAAGGCCCTAAAGCTCTTTGCTGACTTGCAAGGACCCATCTGTTATAACGATGCCCAAAATAAAGGGATGAATCTCATAGTTTATTAGATATAATCGTGTAAAGTTTGCTTATCATTTTCGCATAAATTATGACCTAAATTTGGAAACCACTGTATTTCTCGAATTGGGTCTTTGGGATTTTGGTTGGGCAAGGCACTAATGCGCACTATGTGTAGCCGAGAAATTTTCACGAAAAAATACCGGCAACAGCAGATTTTTGACTCAGACCTCAAAGGGGCGTGGCATTATAACCACATGACATTTACTCCGATCGCCAAAAATTTCATGTTATATTGTAGATTGATCTATACGTTATACATTCTATGTGTTAGACTTACGATAAAAGTAAAGGTGGGGATACCAGAGAGCTTCAAAGTAGGATGGTACCCCCCCAAAAAAACCGGGTCGGGTCACCTTAAACACACCTTGTCTCTTCATATTCCCCTAATTTCTCACTCTCAGTGTTTTCCCCCAGCCAACGTTTATTTTCCTCATATTTTTGTCTTTACTTCTTGACACAAGTAGTGCAAATTGCTGTGCATTAAAAAGTATCACAATGATGAATTTAACTTTTAGTCAAAGTCGATTCGTAGCGTAAAACTTATTTTTAGAACCAACACTGAATTGATAATTGACAACTGGCAAAATAAACTCAAAACAGTTTTTAATCTCGCGGTTGAGGTGTCGGAAAAATAGTTTTCAGGATATAGCATATAGCAGGGTTAAAAAACGTTTCAAATAGAAAATCCCCGATACTCACAAAATAGGGTTTTTAAAGAAGGGGAACATTGCCAAGTGTTTCGCATAATTTCGTGGGTCACGTGCATGTAAGCTACTTTACCGAAATTATCTCTTACTTTGAAAAATAGAACGCTATGAATCAGCGTAAAAAATAGACAGTCCTGTAAAGACATTCTAAGCACCTTTGAAATCTCGCAAAAATCCAGGAATACTGTGTGTATTTTTGAACGTCTGTGTTGTAACAAATATACTTGTCCTAATTATACTAACGCGCTTGACCAAACAATGTAAAACAAGAATGTTCATCTCCTACTTGTTATTTACTCAATCCAAGATTTCTACACTTACATCGTGGCACTGTTGCCAAAAAATATAACTGGTTATGATATAAATAGCCGGAAAAATAAACACCTTATGGAACGATTCCCTTTCAGGGTTTTACAACAACGTTGAATGGTTATTCCCTCGACCTTCTCTTTTAGTCTTTATTTATAATTAGATTTAAAGTTTGTTACACAATTCGGAATACTTGACCATGACATTTACCTTGGTTTTAAGAGTTCTTTTATTCTATTGAAAGTTAAAAAGTAATGGCGCCTCACATACGTCGGTACTTCGAAATGATCATTTCATCATCATCTGAAAGACAAACCTTTTTAAACGCCCTCTTCATCAGTACTCCGTTTTACGGGTATTTAAGCTACTTGAAGCTACACGGAAAGAATTTCTCACACCTTGCCATGGACATCAATCTCAAGACCTCTCACACAGAAGACTCCAAGGGCTACGCAATAACCAACTGTGTCAATCGTTGCTCCTCAAAAAAGGGAAAACGTAAAAAATTGTGTAGTAGAATGCTTACCTGACCCAATGGGAATTGTGATTCCAAAAATTGCGTGAATATTCTTGGACATCTCCAAGTTGATAACATGATTATTTTTTAGCTTTTTCCTTGCTCCTGAATGAAGAGGATATCGACATGTCCTCAAAGGACGCCAGTTGCGACCCAAATTATGTCTGTGTTTTGGACACACGAACATTTCTTCTTGCCGGTGTTTTGGCACATCGAATAGCCCCGCCCTGACTAGAATCAGTTTACTCCATCATTCCAGATAGTTTTGAAAGATGGCATGTCTTCAAGTGGATCGTTATATCTTCCTGGCATTCTTGCAACCTACATACTGTATCCGAACCTCGAAAACCTCCACAACTAGATTTTCCGAAGCCCGAGAAAGAACACTTCACTGTATCAGTAGCCATGTTACCCCTTGTTTGATTTGTGTCCAGTCCAGAAGGACTGGGGATGAAATACAAAAAGTCACGCAAATTTCAACTTTAATCTGAACTGGGTTAAATCGCCTTGTTAGCGACTCATCGCGTTTTATTTGCAAAGAAAAGTGTTTTATTTGCTCTACAAATTTCCCCGCGATGTCTTGAAGAGTAGTCTCAATGAACAAGATTGCATCCAACTAATTTTAGCAAAAGACCTTTCAGGACGGTGTCACGAACCAGTCACGCTCGCGGATGGCTGCCATTTTATAAACAAGATAACTTCTCAAAACGGACAAAGGACATGGAATCAACGGCCAATATAGTTTCAGATGATTAAGAAATAACCTTAAAATGTGAAAGAACTTGGATAAGACCCATCAAGCCATCAAATGAAGTTGGACTTTGACAAGCAGATCGACAAGGCGAGTGTTCGTTAATTATCTGGTTTACGAAATTTCTGGAAATTCAAACGGCGGCCTATTCTGAAAACGTGGAGAGCACAAAAATGTTATTCCTTGTTGAGTTTTATTATCATTCCTAGATTGTATTCATACAGATAGCGAAGTTCAGACAGGTGCCACACTTTTTAAAATTACCCTCAAAGTTGAGCTACTTTCGTGTTTTGATGGAAAGCCGAAAACACGTGCTGGGGAAAAAATCATTGCCGTTGGAAATAAACAAATAATTTGGAACTGTGATACGGCTAGGAAATCTACAGTGGTGTATCTGTATACGGAAAAGAAAATCAGTCTTTTTAAGCCAGGTGTTTGTTTTCTAGAGCGCGGTCAATATTAGCGATTTTCGCACTTTGAACGGCTATGGCGCCGGCGCTGACCGCCCGGAAATTCAAAAATTCGTAAAAAAATATATTTATCACTTTCGGTCAAACGAAATGCATTTTTGCAACTACTAAGGTGGAGGCTTTAATATCCCAGAATATAAGAAAAATTAAATTTTTGATCCAAAATCACTGGTCGGTTTTTACGGAGACACGCTCTTAATTAAGTGTAATTAGGTCTTCTAGCATGCCTAAGGAGGCCCACTAATATAATCGGGAATACTTTTACGTGAAAATTAGTTATTACAGTATAATATTAAGATTTATTACCATAGCTAAACTAATTATTTCAAAAATTGTTAACATATAAATGTTATTAAAAGTAATTAATAAAAGATATCGGCTTCTGAAAATCCAGTTCAGTCCAAATCTGGATTAATTATCAACTATCTAAGATGAAGGTTTCTAAAATAAAATAATCTTGTTGCAATACTTCACAGCTACTTTTATACTGACGTAAGTCATACATAATTAACATCCCTTACATGTTTCTTCTTGAATTAACCCCCCTGCCCTCTCCAAGTCCTTTTTCTTTATGCTGTCTATGATTTTCTTTAATGATATCTCGTTTCTATCGCTCATACCTAACTTCGACCGTTAAGTAGGGTCGAAAAACCTAAGATAGTGTTTTCCGTACGTAACAGTTGCTGCTCTTGGTATATAATAATCTACCTGTGAGCGACGAAAGAGCTGCGATGTATTTGTCGGTAATAATGTTTTGTTGATTTTAAACATAAAAATGGCAATATCCTGTAACCTCATTTTAATTAAGCTAGTTTCACCCACAAGTGCAAGTATATCGCTGTTCGTAGAGGAATGAGCTAAGAAGACCTTTCCAAGGCCTATTTGATTTGGTCGTGATTAAAAGTAAGAAAAAGAAAAAGAACTTTCGTTAGATCTTAGTACTCATTTAATAAGCAAATTACTTCAGATTATCACTGCTATGGTTCGCTCAGTACAACTCGTGAATCGTGCGCACTCATTAAATTATGAAGTAAGCTATGTATCTTTCATTGCAAGAACGTTTACCAAGTAAATCAGTCTGGTGCCCAGTTAAGGTATGAACCTGACTGTTAAATGTAAAGGGATTGTGTGACAGAAGAATAGAATGCATGATGATAACTTACCGACAAGGATTCCAATAACAAAGGTGTTGGCAACAAAGACCAAGCCATTGAACACCAGAGTATCCACGATTGGGTCGACTGTTGTCGAAAAACCTTCACTCGGGATTGTGCTCACGGCTCCTATTGCAAGGTTTACGAACGTAACGGCAAGTGAAGACAGCATAAGGTTGTTTTCGAATCGATCTTTTATGGGCTTTTTTAGCCCGAAATACATCCCGTACAGTCCAGATAAAAGCAATGCTAGCGCAATGTAAGCTCTGCTCTCGCCACCAAGAAGGATCAATCCAGATGTCAAAATAACCTTTCGAACTGTCTCCACTAGTTCCCAATACCAACAACGGGGTCGTAGTTTTCGTGTAAGAAGCGCAGTCCTGATTGTTCGGTGCCTTGGTCTTCAAAATCATTTGTGTCGTTTTTGTTTCTTCCTCAACGTGACAACTACAACGAGAGTTGTAGGTTTCGTCTAACAAGCGCAGTCCTGATTGTTCGGTGCCTTGGTCTTCAAGATCATTTATGTCGTTTTTTGTTTCTTCCTCAGTTTTCTTCGCCGCTCTCTGTTGTTTCCAAATTGCTATGAAAGCAGCAGCAGGCAGGACAATTACATACAAAATGGAACAGTATCCCACGATGACTAATCGGTTATATCTCTCTCCTTTGCAGTCAATGCTGTAGTCGGCCTTTAAATACTTCTCGCAGCTTTCAGCATCTTTTTCGTCAACGCAGATCCTGTGGCAGGCAAGAGGTACGACTTGAGCAGTTTTTAGGCAAGTGTTCAGATAGGTCACGTAAAGAAAGAAAAACAGATTTCTCTTTACGATCGCTTTAATGCGCTCCTTTTTCTTCCTTTTTTCTTCTTCATTCGACATACGTCGTGTCGATATCCAAGTGGCAAGGGCGAGGCTAGAAAGGGCGACGATGACTGCTGCAATATTAAATCCCATAACTGCAATTAAACTTGTGAATGCGTCAAATTTAAAGCCAGGAAGGATGCAGTGGAGGGGAGCTATCTGAACGATGTTCATCTGAATAATCTCGGAATATTCCCCAACAACGGAAAGACTTCCAGGCCATTTTACGTATGAAAACGCCTCCATGATCCCATACAGCACCTGATAAAAGCCAATCACAACTTTAATCTTTCCGAGGAGCTTGTCAAGGAAAGGTCGTCCAGCGTCTTTTTTGCTCTTTTTCTTGCTTCCCCACACCACAAGTATAACAAATATTATAACTAACGCCCCAATAATTGCAAGCTGTCCAATCATCCATCCTTTTGTTGGGCACAGCTTACATTTCTTCAGTTGTTTGTGATATCCATCGCTGCAAACTGCACATAGCGGTCCTTCATAACCAGCTTCACATGAAGAATTTAAACCTCCCTTACAAGATTCTGCCATGGGACATCTGTACGGTTGAGGTATGGTGTACGGGTATTCAATACCGGAATCATTTGCTTTGTGTAATTCAGGAGTAAAGGAGAAATTCTTTAGGTTTTTACTGAAGTTTCTGTACTGTTCTAAGTGTGTCTCATCTTTCCACCGCCACCAAAAGCCAACTGTAAGATTCGCAAAATCATCGGAACAATTTAGTCCCTGTTTCTTCTCACATGGTGTACAATTCCCAAACAGATTCGTTCGGTAGTAATTATCCAAACATTTACAGGCGCGAAATCCTGCAAATGCATATTGGTCAGTGCCTGTCAAACAAAAGAAATCGAAACCATTGTTAGGGAGATGATTGCATAAATAATTAAAATAAGGTTAAATAGTTTTTTCGGCAAGCAAGTTTTTTCTTTGTTGCTGTGCTTTCCTTTTTTAACGCGTGCTTAAAAAAGGACTTAGTAAGAACTAAATAGTAAATAATAGTTTATTTTTTTATTAGGTGCAAAATAGCAAATATATGATCTAATGCGCACTAACAAAAAATAAAAATAAACAGATAATAAATAAATAAATAAATAAATAAAAACCCTAAAAATTTAGTATAAATCTCTCTATATATACAATTAAAAAGGCAATTATAAGATTCGATTAGAAAATATATTGAAACTAAGTAATTGACATCATCTTAAAAACGTTAATCGACAAGTCATTCATGAGTCTTAAAACTATAAATCATAGGTTTCTTTAACCCTATTCAGACTGGGCTT